CGGATAATCCATTCCTATTGGAACGGATTAACCGGTTTCCAATGCATTCCTATGGGAAATGGTGCTTCACATAACGATGTTTTCACATAACGATGTTTTGTTTGGAACCAATTAACATCGTTATGTGAGGCACCACTGTATAAGTAAAATGGCACAAGCCAAAAAGCCTATTAAAACAAAAGGTACTCATGAGAGGATGAAACAAAGAACTATGTCGAAAGAATCCTGCATTTGGTGGCCATGTGGGGAGATGTTGTGACTGTTCCCAGCAAATGTAGCTCAGATATTAATGGGATGACTGTGGCAGCCTCCTGGGAAGATTTGAGGAATTACGTAGGCTCATTTGTATCATTCAGGGATCCTGGTCCTAAGTTGTTTACCCTTTAAAAGTTATAGCTAGCACTTGGAGTTGTGCCTGGAAATGGAAGTCCTTATGGTTGTTTTAGCAAGGGAGCAGCACCGCCACTTTTAGCAGTTTGGCTGCTACGTCTTGCACCTGCTGACGTTTCCAGACACCTTTCAGAGCCAGTCCCATGCTAAGCGCATTGCAGTGTGAATGGACAGGGAAACATGGAACGAGGGACATCAGCATATCGATGGCACTGTGTTCCAGCTCTAAATAATCTCTGCTAGCAGTTTCATTACAAATGTGACAAGATGGAACCTGCAGGACAACTGACCCCACTCCTGGAAAACCTTATACCCAAAGTTAGCAAGGTTCCTCCAAATCCCATCACAACCAGGTAATCCTGAAGGACCCTACTGCAAAGCCCAGCCCACGTCCTCCTGCAGGTTAATACAGTGATCCCATACGTACTACCATCTTTGGCATCTCCTTTCTTTAAGGCTGGGAAGTACAATGAACATTTCAAGTTCTGCTAGCCATTTTTTAGTATTCCAAATTTCGGTGGCAAATGTTTGATATATTTGAGGAAATAAATGGCAACACTTTCTTTCTTTCTTTCTTTTTTTTTTGAAAGCAGAAACTTTATCCTCCTTTTTGAAGACAGGTATCAATCACTCTGCCCTCCACTTTTTTTTTCTCCACCCTGTCTCAGGATAGAGTAGGTGGAAGAAGATCATGCTTGTCCCAGGTGCCAAAATTGCAGAGTTAATGGCTCTGCTTCCACTCAAACTGCCCCATCGTTTAAAACTGCTAAGTTTGGGAGGCAAATTTCTTCCTGGCATGTAGCAAGGGCCATGATTGACTTTAGCATACATGGAGGCATGCTGGGCAAAACAATTCTCAGAAGAACGGATATCTGCCTTACCTCTTCTAGTTTCTCCACTCGACCCACCAGCTTTGTCGTGACGGCATGCAGCTTGAGCAAATCCAACCCATAGAAAGCACCTTCCAGCATCTCAATAACAGCTGCCAGCTGCAAAAGAAACAGTGATGCCATTAATTGCCCTCTTCAGCTTTGTTTGCATGACATTTTGCAGTCTGAATGCCCTCTGGATATATACCCAGTGAACAGCTCAACAAGGACAATCGGCACACAAGAAAATGTTTCTCAACCTAACCTCTCTCACAGTGGCGTTGTACATCCCGTACACTCAAAATATAATCTATAACTTGGCTCACACCCCTAAGCTACAAAGGTCTTGGTGTGTAATGGTTCATTATCACACTTGTGAGGTAGGTAGCAAACCCTGCTTATTAACAGCCCAGCTCATAATGGCATTCTGAGAATCAATGTGAAAATGCAACTTAAGCAAAAAGGAGCTTATAATGCAGGAGAACACCAAAGATATATGCCATGAAGTGTCAAATACTGTATAGAATGGAAGGCCAAAAAAAAAAATGCCATTACCCTTTTTCACACCTTTGTTGTAAAATGAAGATTAATAATGGCAAAGCACTTTGAGCTTTGATCAAAGGGTCAAAGAAATTGTCATTTACCAAAAAGAAAAAGAAAAAAGAAAAGTGAGGATGATCACAGGCTCTCTGCAATGTTTTCAGCACCTGCAGTCTCTTCTTCTTTACTTTAAGGAAGCCCTTTAAGGAGTTTGGTGTCTTACTCTCAGAGTCAGGAATCCTTATTTATATGCAAAGTTGATTCCTTTCAGCACCCCCTCCTGCTCCTATGAAATTGTTTCAATCCCAGAGGATCTAGTTGGCTCCATTAAAAGTATCAACAGGAAAAAATATTTCACAAGTTTGAGGGGAAATGCTGTAAAGATAACTCCCCCACCCCACAAATTGTGCTATACTGAGTCTGTGCCATAATGTGATGGTATGAACAAGTGGAATGGACACCAGACATACTGTCAATAACGCAAAACAAACAAAACAAAAAACAAAAAAACCCTGCGTTTATGAGGTGCAGAGGTACTGCCCTAAAACAAAATGTGCGCAAAACAAAACAAAACAAAAAAACCCTGTGTTTATGAGGTGCGGAGGTATTGCCCTAAAACAAAATGTGAATTTTTAAAAGAAGCTTCAATGTTGCCAAGAAAAGTAGAATTGAAAAGTACTTTGCAGAGGATAGTTTACATTACAAAACCCAAACTCTGATTTTGTTTTGGAACAAAGCTACTGAGAAGATAACAAGGCAGAAGTAACTCATTATTCAGTTTTGTCCCAGTTTTCGCTAGAAAGGGTAAACAACAATTCTATTAGGTACTGTGAACAAAAGAAAAAAATGAAATGCATTTTAAAGTGCCACATAGTGTCATGTGAAAAAGAAACTACACTCTCTTTGAATTCTATAATATTACATATCAGAACATAATAAAAACCATCTGGTCCTTATCAGGACTGAAAATTAGGTAAATACAACCTCAAATGAAAACAACACATGATATATTACACCATGTCATTACTGATTTTGCAAAAATGAAGTTAAAATGGAGAAGCCTTGTGTGAAAACTAAGTACACCCTTACTGATTCCATAGGATTTAAGAGGCTAAGTAGCAGCCAGGTACAGATAACCAAATTAGCAGTAATTAGCAGAAAAACTAAGCTATGTGTGAAAAACTAAGTAAAACTTATGATTCAATAGCTTGTAGAACCACAGTTAGCAATAACTTGAAGTAATTATTTTCTATATGACTTTATCAATTCTCACATCATTGTGGAGAAATTTTGGCCCACTCTTCTTTCTAATGTTGCTAGAAAGAAGAGTTCATTGAGATTTGTGGGCATTTGTCTATGCACAGCTCTCGTAAAGTCCTGTCACAGCATTTCAATTGGGTTAAGTCTGGACTTTGACTGGGCCATCACGAGACCTCGATTCTTTTCTTTTTCAGCCATTCTGTTGTAGATTTGCTGGTGTGCTTAGGATCATTGTCCTGTTGCACAACCTAATTTTGGCCAACCTTTAGCTGTTGGACAAATGGCCTCACATTTGACTCTAGAATACTTTGGTATACAGAGGAGTTCATGGCTGACTCAATGATTGCAAGGTGCCCAGGTCCTGAGGCTGCAAAACAAGCCCAAATCATCACTTCTCCACTGTGATGACTATTTGTGCTTATATGCTGGGTTTGGTTTTCACCAAATATGGCACTGTGCATTATGGCCAAACATCTGCCCTTTGATCCTGTCTGTCCAAAGGCCATTGTTCCAGAAGTCTTGTGTTTTGTTCAGATGCAACTTTGCAAAACTAAGACATGTTGCTGTGTTCTTTTTAGAGAGAAGAGCTTTTATTCTGGCAACCCTTTCACACCAACCAGACTTGTTCAGTCTTTCTAATTGTATTGTCATGAGCTTTAACATTTAACATGCTAACTGAGGCCTGCTCAGTCTGTAACTCTTGGGGTTTTTGCAATTTCTTTGAGCATTGGTCAGTCTGACCTTGGGCTGAATCTTGGGAAGGTTGGCAACTGTATTTGAATATTTAAATTGTTTGTAAATGGCCTTATAACTCTTCCCAGGCTGACAGACAGCAACAATTGCTTCTCTAAAAACTTTGCTGATGTGTTGCTTCTTGGCATTGTGTTAATCCACACCTGAATGCTCCAGACCAGCAAAGTGCTAAAATTTTGGCTTTTATAGAGGTGGTTACACTTGCTGATGATCAAGGACATTTGGTTAGCAGCACCTGGCTCCTACTCAGCCTCTTAATTCCTATGGAATCAGTAAGGGTGCATTTAGTTTTCCACCGAAGGCTTCTCCATTTTAGTTTTATTTTTGTAAAATTAATCATGACACAGTGTAATATGCCATGTGTTTTTCTTCATTTGAGGTTGCATTTATCTAATTATCAGACCTGGTAAAGACCAGGTGATTTTTTATTATGCCCTGATACATAAAACCATAGAATTCAAAGAGGGTGTACTTTCTTTTTCACATGTTGTTTTACTTATAATGGTAATTGAACAAACAGATGCTGCAAAATATATGCAGATAATTGTGTTAAACAAATAAGAATAACAATATATTGTACATTAGAAGCTTTTACAGGATATTATACAAGAAGAAAAAGATGAATGGTATTTTAAACTGAAGAGGAAAAATAGTATCTTTTTTATGATTATGAGGCTCTAGGTACAAATCTGTGAGAAATAAATTTTGTGAGAAAGGGTAAAATTTTATGTTATTCCATAGTACCGTCTAAGGAGCTGCTACCTTAACAAATTGTTAGGGCACCAATAAGCTATACTTGCCCTTGACTAGAACACGCCCAGAGTGATAAGCATTAGTACCAATAAGCTCTAACACCAGATCACTTTCACAGCAATGTCCTGGCCTTGCCAGAACTTTTGTTTAGAGATTATGCTACAGAACAAGGAGTGTAAATATAGGGAGAGATCACCCACTGTTAATAAATGGAGAGACATCATATCCAAGGAGGAATAAGGAGCATGGGACAGAGACTGCAACTGGTGCCAGGTGAACGTCCTTGCAGCAGCAAACCGATAAGAACACAGCACCAGAAGACTACGGACTTCACTTAGCTATACATTTTAACTGAAGCCTGGGTTACAACTGGGTGAGAACATTCTGCACTGAACTTGTGTGTGTTCATAACATCCTCAGAAGCTTAGAAATGTTTTCCGTTTTATATTTTCTTATGACAAGAACTCTGATGTCCTTTCCTAGATTTACAAGAAAAGTTTTGAAGCTTTTGGACTTATATTGTTTTTCACTTTTAAACGAATTATTGCATAGAGATGATCTCTTTCATGTTTTTAAATGTGTCGTTTAAATAAGCTCCTTTCATTTTTGCTTCAAATACGACTAAATTTCTTGTTTACACTTTGTAGAGTTAAAATACTCACTCCATTTTACCTTTTACTTACTTAAAATTATCCTAGGGTCACCTTTATGAGCAGCACTTTCCTTTTAATAGGGAGCATAAGAGCTGTAGGAATGGATAGCTGAGGAAGAGGGTTTGACATTATTCCCCCCTCACCCTCACTGCTTTTGCTCTCCCTACCCCCCCCCTGCAATATACTTAAGGTGATTTTGCTCCTGCTGTTCAAAACTGAGATTAGGGAAACAGACAACAGGGTCCAAACCAGACACATATGGTAACCCATTCAAGATGCCATATCCAGCAAAACAGTCCAGATTTCACCCCCAGTTGTCTCTTCTGTTGCATGCTAAATTAATCTACAACTATAGGCTACAAACATGTTTCCCATCTTTATTTTGCTCTTCTTGCAATATACAGAAATGCAAAAAAAATTTTTTTAATTTAACAGAAGTGGCTACAAGTACAGTACTTCAATGAGGATCTTGCAGATGTAAAAAAAAAATCACTTCCTCCTACTGTCTGCAGACAATCAGGAAAAATATTCAATTTCCAATATCCTGAAGCGGCTTGTAAAACACTTCAGGGTAGACTGAGAGGAACTAATTAGTCTATTCCAAGCGACCACGCTCAACAGGAACAGACTCTACTTGAGCCTTCGAATCCACACCAAAACAGTAGAGCTCCCCAGACAGGGGTTCAAAAAGATGCAGGGCAGCTCTTAAAGAGGAAGATGAATCAATCTAAAGGGAAGCAGATGTGAACACTGTCACTGGGCTCTATCCAAACCATGTCAACAGCAAGCCATATATCATTCTACATGCCTATATGTGGATAGCCTCTTACTGGCATCACAGCAAACCAGTTTAAACAAAGATAGCAGCTGAACTATTGTAGATTTGTAAGTTATTATCCATAACCTGTGTATTGCTCTTAATGTAAAAACTTTTAGAAGCATCAAATTCTCAGAAGTGTTTTCAGTGAAATGGAACAGCATTCTGGCAGTCCCCATTCAAGTCAAGGAAATTTGTATGTGAAAAATACCTACAGGAAATTAAGGTGCAAGAGACTAGCTTTAGCTTAGATCACAGGACAATTGGCAAATTGTCGCAGCCCTATCCCACCCACCCCAGCTCATATGCTATCATATATTTCAGCCTATGTTTCTCATCTGCCT